CCTCTTTTAAATGATGCAAGTGATGAAAATAAAATAAAATGAAAATGAAAAGAGTTAGTGAGGTTAAAATAATAAAAAATAATCATGAAAACTAAAAGTCATACCCTACATGATGTGTACTCCATATGCTTTAATTTCTACCCGGACATGATCTCTATCCCGCATGCTAATTTCAAACAAATCCTAACCGTATATTTGTCTAGTTTGGATGCTTTGAACATAAAGTAAGGCAGAAAACAAAGCAGCATAGGGTTTGGAATGAGGTTTTGGGGTGAGCTCTAATTCCTTGTACTCTCCCGGTTTAGGTTCTAAAAAAGGTACTCGAGTTCTCCTTGCTGGTGCCCCCTTGAGCTTGCCAGACCCTTAGTCCTAAGCCCATCACAAGCTTATGTGGACTAAGTTAAACTCGAGAGGATACATTCCCTTATGCTCATACGGAGAATATATTCACACAAAGACATAAGGTATATGAATCCCGAAGGTTACTTGCTAGGCCCATACGGAGAATAAATTCCCACGAAGGCGTCGCTTTCGCCCCCACTTAAAAGGGTTCGGAGCTCGGGTATAGAGCTAGAGATGACAATTTTGAAAAATATCTAAAATCATTAAAAAAACGTTAGTACAACTATTTATTTGAAAAAATAATCAAAGATAAATAATAAAAATCAAATAAATAAATTAAAATTTAAACTTGTAATTTTCACTAAAAAATACAACCGAAAATTAATTTTGGCCTGACTCACTTACATGTCCCCAGCGGAGTCGCCAAGCTATCGAAATCGTCTTTCGGTTGGGCCCCAAATTGGGCTTCAACTTGGATTAAATGAATTGGAGTCGCCACCGACCATTTAAAACGAATTTAGGTAGGTTGGACACCACCTTACTTGATCTGCGTTGTACCAGAAACGTGTCGGGTTCGGGAGTCGGTTATGGTCAATAAAGGATTAGCACCCTTGAACCACCCTTTCGTTACCAATTAATTCATCGGGTGTCTTAATCGCGAAAATCAAAATTTAAATTGAAATTTAAAAATTCAATTCGAATTAATTATCTTTGATCGATTGAAAGTATCCCTAAAAAGTCAAAAAGTATTGGATTGTAAAAATGAAAATAAACATGAGAAAAGAATAATAAAAAATATTAATATAATAATATTAATAAAAAAAGAAAATATATATATATATATAACAATGTAAAAAGAAATAAAAAATATTAAAATTAGGAGAAAATGAAAAATATATATAAAGTAAATAAATAAAAAATAAAATAAAAAGAATAAGTCAAAAGTTGTTACATCTTACATGTTTTACGTGTAAAGAAACTAGATTTGCAATGAAAATGCTCTGTCATTCCTCGTGCTTTTAGATACTGTCTTTGGATCCTCCACACTTATTTTTTGTCATTTTCTTCCCTCAGTTTTTCTAAATCGTTGCCCCTTCCTCTGATTTTGGTTTCACCTTTTTCTCTGTGTTCTTTCCTCTTGATGCACGAGTCTATTTATAGTCTAAAAAAACCTATTTTTAGCTCAGATTTAGAGTCATACTTGGACTCAAAATGCTTCGGTTTTAGTGTTTCAATAGGACTCAAATACGTTGGTTTTAGTGTTTCAACAAGACTCAAATATGTTGGTTTATTTTCCGAATCTCAGTAAATTTGAGGTTGTTGAGTGCGGTGCATGCAAAAATAATAAAATAAAAATATATTAATAATAAATAAATAAATATATAATATAGTAAAATATTTTTATAGATCCGAACAAAAACGGGTGTCTACACTTACTTATTGGACCAAGTGAATTTCAGTCCAGTGTACAAATGATCCAACAGACCCAAGTTAACACAACACTTCGAAAGCTCCAAAATTTCACTCATAAAAAGAGGGGAAGAACAATCAAAGTTAGAACATTCATTAGGGGCAAAAATGATACTAAAATCCCCCCTATAATCCAAGGAGAAGAACCTATCATAACCCCAACATTCCTCAGCTGCTGCCAAAGATCCTTGCACTCAGAACTAGTATTCTTTCCATAAACAGCAAAAACATATAAAACAACTCCCTGAAAATAGCACTTAAAAGTGGTAACCTGCTCAGTAACTTGGTAGTCAGCAACACCAAAATCCTCCTTACTACACACCCATATACGACTATTAGCAGAGATCGTATGATTGGAAATAACATTCCGGTCCTTAAACTTAGTAGCCACCACAGTAGGAATATTGCAATCCCTAATTCTGGTTTCAAACTGACAAAGCACATCCACATTCACAGCATTCAACCTGCTTAAAACTTTATTCTGTTTATGAGGATCGTTCATTACTCTTAACATTCCAGAAACAAATCTTCATGGAATAGAATTACTTGGAGGACCTCCAGCACTAGTGCCTACGACATCTCCAGCTTTCTTTGACTTCTCCAAATGCTCATTCTTCTTCGTTTTCATTTCATGAAGAAGATGAGCAACCCCCAAAGCCGCTGCTCTTTGTTTTCGAGCAGGAATTTCAGGCACTAGAGAAGTATTCTCACTATCAATAGTAGCTAACACAGTAAAGTTGTTCTTCGGGCTAGTAAATTGAATCTTCCCAGTATCCTCCTTGAGTTTTCCTTTAGTTTTCTTCATAAAGGAAACACACTTGCATCCAGAAGTTTCAAACGGTTCACCCACATTAATAGGTTCAACCAAATTCCCTCCAGAACTAGAAACCCTCCTTGAAGATTGTACCTCCTTCAAAGCAGCGTCTGAATATACCCCAGCAGCTGTACCCACTATGCCTGAACCAGAACCTTCATTGGCTTTAGCAACAGGCCGAACAGAATCTTTATCAGGCTGCACATCCGTTAAACCACTCCTACCAGAAACCCCATGAGAGCCCTCACATTCATTTGACCCTTCTTAACAGTAACATGCTTATCCCCATTCCCCCAGACTTAGGACAAGCCTTAATCGAGTGCCCAAAGATCTTACATTCGGAACAACTCGAAGGAAGCCATGGAACCTCAACCCTAATCCAAAATGAAGAGCCATCCCTCAATAATACCTCCACTGATTTAGGAATCACAGCCCCAACAGAGATCTCAATGCAAACTTTGGCAAATTCCGAACGCTGCCTCGATGCAGTGACAGAATCCATGTGCAAAGGAATGCCAAGGGCACTTGCGATATAGCTCAGACTCTTCTTGGAAAACAGTTCATGTGGCACGTTAAATAGATGGACCCAAACAGGCATACGAACATGATCAAACTCAAGTCGACGCACATTTGGCTCCCATTTTCGCAAAAACAAAGGTTTGTTTTGAATGTGCCAGGGTGCATTCTCTAAAACCTAGTCACGAGCAATCGAATTGACAAAGGAAAAGTCATAGAGACAAGGGCCAACCAAGCTTACCTTCACCAGAGACGTCTTCCCCCAAAGCATCTTCGCGATCTTCTTCATCGAACCGAAATTCGGAGCGTAACCAATATATTATAATAGGTATAATTTCGACATTTATTTTTAATTAATCCTTTAAATTATAATAACTTAAATATGTGTAAATTTTTCATGAATACTTAATTGATTTCCTAGATTTTGATATAACACCTCAGTAGCAAGCATGCATTTCACCACCCATAAGCTGTAAATTCCAAATATAAAGCTAAATCATCTAGTATTTCTTACACCATTAAAACCAAAAAGAAAAAGAAAAAAGATGAAGCCACTCAGATTCAGAGCAACAATGCAACGATGGAAGAAGCCACAGCCGAAAGATCATGCACCACCTTATTATCACCTTCAATCGGGAACTTGGGCTGCTTCTCGAATCTCCTCTCACAAGCCAGAGCTTCATTGGCCGCATCATTTAAACCCTGTACACCAAATTTAGGGTCACCCTTCACGACGGCATCGATGGCGGTCGGAAAGTCGTACTCGACAATGGCGTCGTAATAATCGACGCAGTCGAGCAAAGCCTTCTTCAAGCTTTGATCTTTGGATTGTTCGAGTAAATTTGTGATCTGTTTCAGCGTTGCGGTGGCTTTGGCTTTTACTTTGTTCGCTCCGATTTGAGCTAGTCCCGGTATGTCGGTGCTCGAGCTGTGAGGGTCCGATTGGAGTGCCGAGACGCAGAGGTTGTAAAAAGGCGTTGTTTTGCAAGTCGTGCCGATCAGGCTTGCTCTATTTTCTCGAGAATTTACGGGCGAGAAAGTGAAGGAAAATATGAGGTAGTGAAGAGAAAAACAGATGAATTTGTTCATTTTTTAGTGTTTTTGTGATGGAAGGGAAGACAAGGATTTTGGGGTTTTTGTACATGCTCCCTCATCTTTAAATAGACAAACGAAGCCATGGTGTTACTGTCCATGTATTCGGATTATCCGATTAAAAATATTATTTGAATAAAATTTAGTATCACCAATTACTGGTGTAGGCAACTCATACTTCCCGGTCTGTCACCAAAAGAATTTATTAGATTTGCACTCGTTGTTATTTTAGGTAGCATCTGATATTATTTTCGGTAGAAAAAAATAACATTTTAACAATCTACCGAAAATTTTAAAATATATTAACATTTTCGGTAACGTCTTTTCTTAACCTTATATGGACTGAGGCTACCTTTCCTAGGCATCCCCACAAACCTTAAACATGAACCTTGAATATAAATAGCAGAAACGAACATGAAATCTATAAATAACACAAGACAGTCTAATATTTGAATGATTGAACTGAGACGTGTGCCAACAGAATTCATGTAGCATGATTGAAAAAGATGTTTCATCTTCCCTTGCATGGACACAACAACGATCCGAACATGGCACGGTGTTTTACATGTCGAAAACATATTATTAATAAAAAATACGAAGAAAAAATACTTAAATTATATGAGAATTTAAAATTTTCAAAGACCAACTCATTCGGTGTCCATACTTTCGGTCTGTATGGACACGGTGAATTTCGGAGACCTCAACTCAGCCCTGCTCTAAAGCATTTTTTTATAGAAAAATAAAGAAATGGGCAACACCACCAACATTTAAGAAATGTAAATACCTCCCCCGACGTTTGATTCAATCTGGGAATCCAAGAAAATGGTACAGAAAAGGTCCAGAACAAAGTAATCGAAGGGTAAACCCGTTAATGGTTTCATGAATCGAAAACAAAAACACCTTAGAATTCGGTTGCGATCGAACGGCTTCTCTTTCCGGTGAGGTGTTGCAGATTCTTCTTCAGAATATATGCACAATGTCGTAGGCGAATCTGTTGATGTTAAAGAAAGCACCGATGGGCAAAAAGGATGCTGGCAATCGATTACTACTAAGATAACAAAAACAAGCAGAGGCAAAGCCGAATAATACGATTTAATAACTAGGGTTCAACATCGAGTGTATAGTGTGTGTGTGTGTGTCCATATAGCATTAATAGAAAGAAAGGATACGTCCAGAATAGCACAAATGACTGCAAACATTTAAAGTACGTTGTTAGCTGATGGAAATTTAGAACATGGAATATGTAGGGTAACTCGAAACATAAAGCTTACCATAAGTCCGCCCATGAAACCATCCAGTATAATCCGGTTCCAGCTATCAACATATAAATGAACCGAGAACTTTGCCTTTGCTATGAGTCCAATTGAAGTAATTGTCATGACAAGAAAATAAAAGACAAACCCCATAAAGCCTGTGAATCCTAAAATCCCAGCAATAACCCCTCCGATGATAGACATAAATGTTCGGCTGCAAATTAGAACAGAACTTAGAAATTGGCTTCCAGGACATAATTTCGCATTCTTGTAAACAAGAAAAACAAACCTGTAGTATATAACTTTCATATTATTTTGCATATTCTCTGCACTAAAAACCGGTACATCATTCATTTCTTCATTTGATTTCTTCTCAGACGAACTGGAATCACTATGTCCAGTCATAATGTATTATTTATGTGCTCTACAACTTTCTGAAAGAAAACAGATAAAGGAGTTAACCATGAATATCATACAAACCACAAATGATACAGATTCAATAATATTAAAGAAACAAATAAAAAAAGAAGGGCTCATATATTGCAAGGCAAGAACAAAACCAAAGCTTTTATGTTAGTTAAAATTCACAGATCGAAGGAACTTTGAGGAGCCAATTGAAGCCAATGCCCTTACGGTCACCCCCTCGATACAGCCATCTCACAAGGCCAATTACCTAATGATGTAGAACACAATTACTTGGACCAAAGCATAGGAACGTCAAATCCCAAAGGAACATTAACAAGGTTTTTTCGAATTCGAAGACACAAATCAAAAAGTGAGATTTGCAGAAGAAGTGACCAATAGAAACTAAATAATCCAAATTCATAGGCATTTTGAAGAGAAGCAAAAAGAAAAAAAACAGCTAAACGTTACTATTCCAATAACCCAAGAGAAGTGAGGGCGGCAACTTCTAGAGATTTGATTCAAAAGAACATGAGATATCAAAATTTCCAAAATTTCAATTAATTAGCACGAACTAAGATAGAAAATAAGAAAAATCAACGTGATTTTTTCACATCCTAGATAATTCAAACCCAGGGATCGTATTAGATCTAAGCATCGAGAAATCATTCAAAAACAAACAATTTAAATAAATAAAAAGCGGATTCCGATAAGAAGGCAGTGTATTACAATCATAAACAAGAAATTTAAAGGAAAAACGAAGACACAGATTTACCCAGAGGATCGGAGAATATGATGTGAAAGGCTTGCTTGTTCTTCTGTTCTGCTACTGAGAATTCACTTCGAGATAGCAGACGATATCTGTTTTGCACTTTATTAATCTAGCCTCACACTTTTAACAAATTCCTCTATTTCCCCTAAACTATTTTAAAAATACATAAAGGTCCCCACCAATAAAAAGTTACGCATACAGTTGCAGCTTTTTGCAGATTGTGAAATTTTAAAACAATAAGATCGAACCTCGTTTAATTGGTTAAATATCTATTTTGACCCTTGTACTATACATAAATTTTTAACTTAACATCACAAGGGTTTTTTAATAATTTTTTATCAGAGATTTTAGGGATTTTTTAGTTATGAAAAAATAATTAAGCATATTTATAATTTAAAAACATAATTATAAACATTATAGAAATAAAGGGACCAAATTATAAAAAATAGAAGGGGTTAAATCGTTCAACTTTAACATAACAAAGGGACTAAAACAATAATTAAGCCTTTAAAGCAAAACCTCTCCTATTGTTATAAGCTATCGTCAGCTGCTCTTTCCATTCAAAGACGAGAAAAAGAAACGAAGCCTAGCCTTTGCAATCTATTTCATATCTGTTTATTTGACCGAAAAATAAGAAGTTAGGATGAAGATATAATGCTATACAAAATCTGCATGATTTATGCTTCATCGGGGCCTTCCTAATCATCGTAGTCACCGAACTGGTCGATGACGGTTTACCATTGTTTCTTTCCTTTCTTCTTCCTCTTGTTTCCACTGCCGCTACCGCTACCACCACCACCAGTGTTGCTACCACTAGTCTTCGAGCCACTTCCGGGTTTAGTGACAGGGCTCTCCACGGAGGAGCTACTCAGAAAATCGTCAAACATGCCTGCTTGTACTGCATTCTGTAACCACTCTAAGAATTCTGCCTCGGTCATGGTTTCTTCCGGATTAGGCATCGGTATTTTTCCGCCTCTCTGTCCAGAACTAGAGCCCTTGCTGGTACTATGCTTGGATACCAAACTAGTGTTGACGTGAAAACACGGCTTATGTGTGTTCGGTGGACATCTCATTCCCTGCAATAAAATCGAGGTTAAGAGAGTCTAGACAAGGATGCAGATTACAAGTTTCGAATGAAAAATCCATGCAAAACCCGTTCTAGAACTGTATTCAGCTCCGGATATCTTCGTACTAACCAGTTTCCAACATGTATTTAGGGTCAAACTTCCAGCATATACTTTGTATAGTTCGTTTGTAATAACCAAATACTACTTATAAACTCGCTTTACCTGACAAATATACCATTCAGTAGCATTATATATCTTGCCATCGGCACAGACGTAGGCAGCAGGAGCATCCACCTACACCGATAACGAAATAACTATTATGTAAACATGCAGAATAGAATCTTAAGACTATCAACTCGAAAAAAACTAAACCATAAACTAGTAGGTTACATTTTGGGGAAGTAACTAGCTGTGTATTTAGAAGCAATTCTCATTCTTCTTATTTTCAACTTTATTTCTAGAGAATGTATAATCGATTATATGCTGAAGAAAGGATGTAGAAAAACGAAAAGAAAATGTATTGGCATGTGATGAGGGGTGGAAACTGGAAACTGGAAAGTGCATACCTTCTGCAATAACCCGAAAAGGAAGGGCTGTGAAGATTGTTCAACCCATCCATCTCCATCTTTTGCTTGATGAAAATCTTTGCATTCCTTTAGACGATATTCCAAAAAACATAAATAATTTATTGTTAAAGACACCATGTTATCAAAATCGGGGTCTTGTGCTTGAAGGACAACTTAAAAAGTATAGACGATATTTTAGGAGGAAAAGAAAATACCTGGCACCATCTTGCTCGAGATTTTGATTTCTTTGTTTGTATCCAGACATGAAAGTTACCACATTTTTTGCAGGCGATTCGCCTAGGTTCTCCAAAAGCTTCCTCCCCATCAGCCTCGGACCATCCAAATCCAGAAGGAAAAATACCATGTTCACCATTCTGAGCAATCAAAAGCAATAAAAGGTCGAGTATGAAGCAAATATATAATCAAATTTCAAATAAGAAACTTGAACATGATAGATATTCGGCCTTTATATTTAAGTGAAGAACATTTCAAACCTTTCGAGAAGAAGTTTGAAACCTACGGAAATAGTTCAGCAGCTCCTCCCTCCTAAGTTCGTCATCATATGCTTTCCGCTTCATGGAATCAAGTAAGACCTAGATATGGAATTATATTATTATTATTATTCTCAGAAAAGAAATGAAAACTATATCCGAGGAAATACGTAATAAACCGAGAGATTACCTCATATGCATTTTGAAGTTTTTTAAAAGCTTCCACAGCCTTTTCATTACCCATGTTTTTATCAGGATGGACCAGCATTGCCTATCAAACAGTTGACAAATTTCAATATCACAGATGTCTTGTTCGATTTTCATGGTAATCGATCAGAAAAAGAAAAAAAAACGGTGGATACCAGGTGTAAACTGATCCAATAGAACTTTCGTAGAAGCTCGCTCGAACTTATTAACTAGAAGAAATATGATGTATGATCATATCCAAGTAGTGTGAAAAAGACATAGGATGTACCTTTTTTCTATATTCTCGCTTCAGTACATTAACATCAACATTCTCATATCTCGACAAACCCAACGCAGAATAGTAATCAGTGCAGTTCAATAATCGAGCAACTTCTTCTTCAGAAGTTATCTCGGTATCAACCCCACTGGTTGAAGCTATCCCAGGACCACGATCTGCTGAAAACCCTGGAGCATTTTCAGAGAAGGAAGCATGCATTCCATTTGTTTGTTCTGGGTTCACATCAGGTCTTGCTTGCTGATCTATGTTGTTCTTTATGTAGTAGATCAAAATATCACTTGAGATGAATGATATATTTATAGCCAGAAGCAAACCGAGCCAGCCGGTATACATCCAAGCGCAATATATGGAATATATAGTGGTAATAGATAATGCAAGACGCTCATGGCTTAACGAATATGCCAATCCTGAATAATAGCAAGCATTAGAATTCCATACATTTGAAAGAATAACTTTGCAGATGGAACAAATCCAATGGAAAAGGAAAAATACAATCACCTCCAAGGAAGATCACAAGAAGTGTTGTCCAGAAACTTCCATAAAACCACAGGAAAATAGATCCAAAAACAGCTACAACCAACATCGTGAGAGTAAACCCGATAAAAACTGCTGTCAGAGCAGCTATGGCCTGTGTAGCCAGCATTTAAAAAAAGTAAATGCCTAATTCGTTAATAGCTCAAGAAATACCCCAAAGGATCAATAAATCATTGTTAAAGAATTACACAAATTTGGGCAATCGATGGCTAAAAAGTCGTTGACAATATCAAATAAATCCTTGTGAAAATAATTTTATGCAGTCGATGCTCATGGGATTCATAAAATGCAAATGGAGGCATAGGGGTCTCGTGGACAAAGAAACATTAAGAAAAACAAAGATGAGATGCAACCAGAACTTACCAAGAGCATAAGAAACTTCCACATCCCAATCATTGCAATCACTGAGAATATACTACACCATATAACTGAAAAAAGCGATGTTGTACCCATTCGGAGAAAGGAATCAATTCCCCTAAGAGTACAGTCGAACCAGACTATTGACAAAAGAAGCATGATATTTCCAAAATGCCTAAGCCATGTCAATACGATGGGATACAACCACTCAACCTTTACTTTAACATGATCCCGAGCACTATGCATTTTAGCCGTTAGGGAAATTAAAATTGGCCTCTGCCTCTCGAGCCACTGGCTTATCACCTTCAAGGTAGATGCAGCAGACGCTCTCGCTACTGCTCTCATATTTCTAACCGCCAAATAATCTGAAAACTTTACATTCTCCATTGCATCTTTAAGGTGAGAACCATTCAACAAACAGCCCCAAACTCCGTTTTTATGTTTCAGATTAAGGTTTCCATCGGGTGCTATTTCATTCCATTCCTTTCCAGTTGAAGCTTCGTCCGAAGCTTCATTTTCAATGCAATTCCCTGAATTACTCCCAGAAGATATTGATTGACGAAGACCCTCAGCTGCATCACCATGCTTCTCTGTTGTCGCAGACATCTCAGAATTCTCAGTCCCGGCCTGATGACCTTTGCTAATTGTTTCTGTTAAAGTACTGTCTGAAGTATTACCATTAGGTAGTTCCTCTCCATGAAAAACCACCTTCTCATTTGCTTTTCCTCTTCCTTTCACATTGGAGACTCGATGACCTGCCTCTGAACCCTTTTGCTTCCCATTCTTCTGCTGATTACCTTTCCGAGCCATAAAATTATTATAGCCAATCGCTTCCTTGGAAATGCAAATCAGTTTAAGCTATCTCTAGCCTATCAAGAGAACCATGGAAGATGGTAGTGACTAGTGAGTTCCGAAATTAAAAAGAACAAGTTCTCCCCTTAACATAACATCGCACCTGCCACCGAAGAACAGACATAGTTAGCCGAAACATATACAATATAAGTGCATAAACACAGTACTTCAGAGATTTTTTTAGCTTTCATCACTCGATATCACACCGGAAACGGAAGCAAAAGAGATAAGATATTGTCAATTGAGGAACTACACAAAAACTTCATCAATTAATCAGAGGGAATATTAAGTCCTGGGAAGAAAAACCAAACTCTTGCTTCCAATTTATTATACTAAAAAAAGCTGATACTAAACAGTAAACACAGCCAAATTCAAAACACCAAGAGAAAAGAACAAAGAGAACCCATTTAGGAATCTTAAAATCAAGAAATTTCATAACAGAACAAAGGAAATTTATAAACCAAACAAAGAGTTGACATTAATAGGCGAAAAGGTAGGCAAATGAGCAATTACCTTGAACCAAGGGAACTGGTGAAGTGCAATGACAACGGATGAGAAGGAGAAGGAGAAGAAGAAGAAGGAAGGAAAATGAGAGATACCCAGAAAATAGGAAATCAAAATAAAATAAACCCTAAAATTAGAGGATTAAATGGGCATAAAATAAAGTGTGATATTATTTTGTTCTTGATACTGTATAAGTAAAGTTTGGGGAGTAGTGTTTGAATACAAGAAGCTGAAAGATGAAGGCTGTGTTGTTCCAATCCCAAGACAGAGAGGAAAAGGCTATTGTTTTTGGGGTCTGTTTGGTTGGTTGCTCAGCTCTATCTTTGAGGCTCCTATTCCTGGTTAACCCTATTCTTCTGATAGGTATTTGGGTAAGGGTTAATTATTTGAACAATGTCACTTTTAAACATTCCAAATAATATCTTTGAAATGGAATGATTATAAAGTAATAATTATTTAAAATTATTTTTAATCTTCGATAATGTACATGCGTCTTTTAAATAATTTTGTTTGAATTTGAATCTTTTGAGGTTGTTATTTTATTTTAATTATTATCACTAAAATCACCGAATGAATTTTACAAATCACACATTTTATTATTAAAAGATTCAATGTCTAAAATTTCGTAAATACTTATCAATGAACACTCATAATTAAAGTTAATCAATCGGACTAACTACGGTATGAGAATTAATATTTGGTATTATAATAAAAATGATATGTTAAACCCATTAACTGGCCTCAATGATTAAGGGAATAGTGTTCTCCTTTGAGGTCCTAAATTTAAATAGTTGTGTCTACATGATGTGTAATTTATCGATGATTAAAAAAATTATGAACAAATATTATATTCTATCACTTCATACTATTCAAAAATAATAATAAATATTATATTTTTAAATTGATTATTTTGTTTATTTAGAAATTCATTATCTTATTTTATGCTCATTTAGTGAATCGGAAATAATCATATATTTATTATTTTTAAAAATTGCAATTTATATAGTTAAAATGGGTAAAACTTTCGAGATAATGTTCTGAACGAAATTAATTCACGAGCTAATGCACTCCCAAGATTAATTGCTCAAATAGGGTGAAATCCACAGTGTTGGTCGTAGGTCGCCATGCACTCCGGGCGACCTTGTAGGTCGCCATGCACTCCGGGCGACCTACCCTCGCTCGGCTTCCCTCGGATTCCCTCGTATAGCTCGCTCGGTTGCCCTCGGATGCCCTCGCATAGCTCGTTCGGATGGCCTCGGACAGATGGCCTCGGATGGCCTCGGATGCTCTCGGATAGCCTCGGATGCTCTCGAATAGCCTCGGTAGGATGGCCTCGGTCGGATGGCCTCGGATGCCCAGCGTGTTGGGACGTGCATGGCACATGCAATCTCTTGTAGCTCGCCCGGAAGGCATGGCGACCTAGTAGGTCGCCCGGAAGGCATGGCGACTTACGGCCAACACTGTGGATTTCACCTTATTTGAGCAATTAATCTTGGGAGTGCTTTATCTCGTGAATTAATTTTTTCCAGAACATTATCTCGAAAGTTTTGCCTAATTAAAATAAGAAAAAGAAAAATCATTTGTCCATGGATGGTTGTCGAGAAGAAGAAGCGTAAGCCAGTGGTCGAGGCAAAGGATATTCCAAAGAAAGTGGAATCCACAAGAGGTGCTGGCTCCTCACGCTTTGCAGTGTTTTCGGATTTGCAAGGTGAGGAAGGCCAAGAGGCTCGACTGGTTAGCAAGCCTGCTTCGTTGAATTATGGGAAAGAGAAGAAGAACAATAATGGGAAACAAGCAATAGCCACAGCTAGTAACAGCAAAACCCAGAAAGTTTTCATCCCTATGGCTGCCTGTAATGCTTCTAACCCGGGGAAGAAGGAGAAACACGCGGACAAAGGATTAGTTGGTGTACACGTGCTACCAACTCAGAAGGGGCAGAACACGACAATTTCCATACATGCGATAGAACACGTATCTGACAACCATAAGGCAGCTTCAATTAATGAGAAGGAAAAGGAGCATAACGGTCACACAAGCGTTAGGATAATGTCCCACCCTAAGATTATGACAAAACTATCAAAGGAGAATGTTCGGCGAGAAACGGCCATAGGCGGGGAGGAACTTGATCTGGGACCGTCAGCTAGAGATTGGTTAAAGGATTTCTCACAGCAGTTAGAGGAGTTTGGGAATTTGAAGGACCCTATCTCACAAGTCACAAGCACAAGGAAAATCTAGGCTTATTAAAGCGGGGCTCATGAGTGAAGGTGAGTAGATAGATGAATCGGGTACAGAGGAAGAGCTGGAAATGTCGGTTTTTGAGAGCTTTCTGGTCCATCTTCTTTCGCTGTCACTACTGATGAATTGTATGGTTTGGAACTGCCAAGGGGTGGCTAGTCCCACTAGTCGCAGAATCTATATGAATTTCATGCAGGAGTTTCGACCAAACTTAGTTGCACTACTTGAACCCCAAAACAGTGGCAGGAAAACAGATGAAGTAATGGCTCGTTTGAAATATACCCATTCTTTTCGAGTGGAGGCCCACGGCTATGGTGATGAGATTTGGGTTTTATGGAAAAATAATGTCGATTTTGAAGTTCCGACTATTTTCAATCAATTTTTCCATGGATGATTGCGGAGTATGAATAGTCGTGATTGGATTGCTCTCACAGTAGTGTATGCGAGCCCTAGTCGAACTATACGAAAGTCTCTATGGTCATCTCTTCTATCTCTTGACCCCAGGGGAATGAACCGTGGCTTATAGACTTTAACTCCATTATCAGCACGGATGAACGAACAGACGGCTCTGGAAGACCTCTAAGGACCAACAACTTATTTGGGGAGTTCATCGATAAGGCTGGTTTAGTTGATACGGGGTTTCAAGATCCGTCGTTTACCTGGTCGAGAGGTAATATCCATAAGAGATTAGACCGTTACCTTGCCAATGGAAAGCTTCACTCTTTATTTCCCAACTCTCGTGTAGGCATGACAATGGATCCCGGATCGACCCAAATCCGTAGATCTAGATCCATTTTATAAGGTATGATCCTCAAATTTTAGACCGAATGAATCTGGACCGAATCTAAATCATCTGACTAAATTACGGATCCGAGTTCAAATTTGATACTAAGATACCGGGTGCGGACCCGTTTGCCCATTTATAAAAAAGCCCACCTTTATTTTTAGTATATATATATACATATACATAATAGGCTTTAGAATATGAGAGATCATATTTACTTCATCTTTGTGTTATTGATAAAGCAAGGAAAGTCAAGGAAAGAGCAATTACCAGAGAGAAGAATGTGAAAGGTCATAAAATGTAATTAAACTCACACTCCATTAGAAAGCAAATAATTACTTCATCTTTACTTGGAGATTTTGATCGTCAACTCTATTAGTATTTAGTCAAATATAATGACCATGTTCCCTATAGAATAGGAGACAAAGAGATAGAAGAAAACATGAAACTTTTAGTGGGAGAAAAGGACGATTTGTCAGTACGGTGGTAAGCAAATTTAATGAAACTTGGCAAGGAAGGAGTTCCTGTAATTTTTGCTATATACCCATCTTCTCGCCACTGTTATAAGTTTTTATTGTTGTAATTATTGTAATTTTTTTACACCACGTCCATCGTTAGAGATTTAATTAATTAATTTTGGAATTTAAATGTTTTCGAGATTAAATTACTTTAAATTTAAATTATTGAGGTCAATATCAAATTATTTGAGTTTTGATTGATGGAATAGATTGAATTTGCATTTTAAATTCAGAATTTTTGTGTTAATTTTATGGATTAGAGAATTCAATTTTATACTAATTACATGAACCGAAAGACTTTAATAATTATCATATTATTATTATTATTATCTTTTGAGGTTCTGAGTTTGAACACCGCATATATAAAGATGTATAAATAGTTATCGTCAATTGATTGAAGGACTTTGTCATACTAGGCTAGTAAAAAAAATTCATAGTAATTTCAATTTTATTTTCCCTAGAAAGGGATATGTTAATTTTTAGTCCTTAAACTTGAAAACTCTTTTCAACGTTGATCACTAAATTTCTATTTACAAAAGTACCCGAATTTGATGATTTTTTTTGCATTTTAGTACATTTGATGATATGGCATAACACGAGAGTTTGACATCATCGGTGTAATAAAAAAAATAAAGTTTAGGGATTAATATAAGAAAGAAGTTGGAGAAATTATGGGGGCTAAAATTGATTTATCCCAAATAGACAACCCCAGTTTCCATTTAGGGTAATGAAGAATGGATTGATTAAAATAAAGTGTTTTATCAAGGAAATATGAGATTTGTGGACAGTTAATTTCCTTAAACTCTATTAAAAATGGCGTAATTGGGGACAAAAGTGATTGTCGTGATTTAAAGATGGTCTTAAGTCTTATCCGAAAATATTTGAGGATTAAAATGCACAACATGTTTAACATATGCCCTATCATTTTCCCTCTTATCACGCAACTAAAAGCAATCCTATCTTACCAACGCGGTTCAAATGGTAAGCAGCTTGATATCGTTTTTAAGTTCGAGTTCTTGTGTATGTAGAAAATCCTTGTTGGGAGACTCACCCACCAAAATCAGGCGTGAGACTCAGGTTGGTCTAAATTAATCATGACAAAACTTTAGAATTGAAGGACAAAAAAAAAAGCAACCATATCTTTGTCTCTCCCATTAATTTATTCTCTCTATTTCATTTTTTCCTATTAAAATTTGATCTAATGATTCTTACAGAGACGACCAATTTAACTTATTTTGTTTTATTCATAATGTTTAGATTCAAATCACAAACGTTACTTAAATTATCGTTATTTTAAGTTACTTATTAATTAAAATTTCTATTCTAATACATTTTGTGTAGGGTGAATCCATTAAGTGGCGTCAGCGATAAAAAGAATGTTGTTTTCCCAGAGGTCATTGGTTCGAACAACTACATATGAAGCGAGTGTGTGTCGTTAACTGATCAAGAAAATTTTGAATAAATATTATCATATAATCACCATAGATTATTAAAAAAAATTGTACGAATACAAAATATTGTCCCAAACTTCTTAGTCAACTTTAATTTGGTTCTTATTTCAAGACCGGTTAATAAATATGGGCACTAACTTGTTAGTTGATTGAATCTTAATTCAATTGACATCATTATTATTATAGCGTTTAGAATGTTGTAAGTTCTTATGGACTTAACCGAATAATGTCCTTCAATTGTACCACAAAATCAATTAAGTCCCTATTTTTTTTGTCATAGATTAAATGAGTCCTTATTTGAGAAATCATGGATCAAATGACGATGATCAACAACCGTTGGTGAGGGGAGATTTTATTGGATTATGAGGTTGAGATAATCTTTAGGTTGTTTAAGAATGTGAAAAATAATAAACAATAATATTTTATGTTCAAATTGATATTTTATATAAACTTTAAGGATTAAATTAGAAATTAATGTTTTTTTGTTAATATGTCTCGTCATTAATGATAAGAGATTAACAACTCAATGATCAAATTAAATTAATAATAAAATATATTTAATAAGTTGAAATAATTTTTTTAAGTTAATATATTTTTAAATGAAAATAAAAATTAGTCACATTTTTAATAAATTAAAATAAATTATATATTTTTAAATGAATATAAAAATAAAACATTTTTAAATTAAGTTAATAATAAAATATATTTAATAAGTTGAAATAAAAATATTTTAAATTAATATATATAATTATATTATATATAATTTGGATCACGGGTACCCGATTCATAATTCTTTTTTTAAAATTATATTATTTTTAAAACAATTATATAAAAATTCCAAAATTTAAAATTTAGAATTTAAAAGTCTATAATATATATAATCCACACATAAAGTTTAAAAATTCAAATTACATAATTGAAATAAAATTTATTAAAATTTAGAATAAAGAAATATAATTAAATTTCAAATGTTTTGAAGTTAAAATAAACATTTTAAAAAATAATTTAGAGCGTTAATGTGAAATAATTTAAGAAATCAAGAATTCAGAACGTTATGGTGTCAAAATTTAAAACATTAGGACTTTAGAATGTTAGAGTGAAATAATTTGAGAATTATGAATAAAAATTTAATATAAAATAAAAATGAAAAATAAAAAGTATATAATTAATCGGGTACCGGGTCGGAGGGTACCCGGTTAACCAATATTTTATGACCCATGCTCGACCAAAAAACCCGACCGAGTACCCGACCCAAAAAACCGGGTATTTTTATTATAAATACTGATATTTTTTAACTGGGTCAGCGGGTAAACGGGTCAGGTATTTTTGAACAACCTTACTGGCATGACATGTGGCATTGTTCAATTGGAGGATTAAATTTATTTTAATTTATTAAAAGTATGACTAAATTGAGAGAATATATAAATAATAGGGACTAAATGTGTGATTATATCAAAAATATTTAACTCCCATCAGTTAACTCGGTGACCAAAACTTAATTAAATAAAAACGTAAGTAACCATATCTTAATTAAATAAAAATAAAAATGACCATATCTTATGTTTTTTTGAAATCAGTGATCAAAATGGACAAAACACAAAGATAAGTCATCATCCATGTAGTTAACCCTTTATAGTACAAAAGTTTGTATTCACAGACGAGGATGGTTCTATAACCGGCTATATATTTTTTTTCATTGAAAAAAGTTAATCCAATAATAAATCCTCAAACTATATTCTTTATTTTAAATTGGTTCTCAAATATTTTAACGTTCTACTTTCACCTCCAAACTATGACTCATTCTAAATTAGTCATTAAACTTTTAAATAATATAATTTCACCCCCCACTATGGCTTTCATTATAAATTGGATTATTTTATGTTCAAGCGGGACTATATTTGAATTACACCCTAAACCACGTAATACCATAGTTATCACCGCCAAACGAGAAGCACATAAATCACAAACAAAACTACACGAAGATTTGAAATTTTCAAGAGTACGATAACACCTCTAGTGTCTCAGTGATCTATCACGAGGTTATCGATTTAAATCTATTAAGATCAACATATGGAAGGACAAAATTACGACAATAGAGGGATTAAGTCAAAAATTTCAATATGATAGAGGAACTAAAACCAAAATAAGACCAATATCCATGACTGGAATTAAAATGAATAATTGAAAACAAAGGTCTCAAATTACAGATTTCCCCAATAAAAGAAGAAGAGACAAAAGTATCAAAATACAAACTAAACTCATCCACCAGTAGACAAATTCTACAATCTACATCTAGAATTCTAAGGATATTATTCTATTGCCCCCTTAAGTTTCTATACAGTTGAATTTAACCCCAAATTCTATAAAGAGGTATTTTTTTTCACATGTTGAAGTTGAACTGTTGCTGTAAGAACAAAAAATCATCAGCATTCAACAAATTGTCCGAAAGATCACCACCATCCAACATGGGCTGATGATTGTTGGTCGGAAAATCGATGCCGACATCGCCATGGTTGTTGTTGCTGTTGTAATATTTTTCCGATAGATCGGAGTAATCGACTTGGCTGCCGTATTGGAAACTATAACCAGGATTAGGGTTGTTATTAACGTGAAAGCCGTTGTTGTAACAATTGGTTAAATCCGAAACAGGCGAAACTTGTGCCTCGAACGAGTTCGACGATGATGCCACAGTACTTGAATTCTCCGGGGTCACTTGCGCCGTATATTCATCGCAGATAACCCCTCGTCGAGAGAACATCTGCGACGCAGAGTTAGTGGTCGCGGTAGCTACGGAGGCGGCTTGAATTCTTTCGACTAACCGAGGCATCCATAGGTAACGCATGGTGTCCTTGAATTGCTTGCTGCTGACATCGCATTTGAGTTGCTTAGCATGTTTCTGGACACGAGTTCTCCAGTAGTTCTTGATCTCGTTGTCGGTTCTTCCCGGAAAATGCTGTGCGATTTTCGACCATCTGCAGCAACAACATCATCAACAACAACAACAAAAACCTCTGTAAATTGTCTGAAAATAAACATCATCATCAACATGACAAAAACCTCTGTAATTGATGAGCTTGAAGTCTTCTTCAACAGTCCAAGGACCAAGAACCAAATCCATTTGATCTTCTTCACTGCTTTGAACCTTTCTCATGCGACCCCTTGCTTTAAAATCTTCCATTTGAGGACACAAAATGGATCAAATCTTCTTTTTCTTTTGTCTTTTGGTTTTGATTATAAGAGATGATTGGGGTGCTTTTATAGATGGAGTTTGGATTGAAAATGGTGGAAAGATGGTAATTAAGCCTTTTTTAGAGAGAGAGAGAGAGAAGCACAGCCGCAATAGAACTTAACTGTGAGTTTAAATATACTAGCGGTCATTGAATTATTCTGCAATTATTATTTTGTCCATTGAACTTTCAAATGTTGCAAACTAATGATTAAATTTGGTCAATTTGCTACAAAATGGTAATTTCTATGTTATAATGATTCTAAAATTTTCATGACAATTTTTTTAATAATTTGATAAAATTTAATGAGTATTTTGTAACAGTTAGATAAACCTAAATAAAATTTTATAATAGTTCAATAAATCTAATGAAAATTTTATACTTTTTAAAATTTTAATAACTAAAATGATCATTTGAACATAGTCCAATGACTTCTAATATGCTCTGGCCTAAATTTAATCAAGAGGTTAACTTACTTTTAGTGACTAAACTTGACAATATTTTCAAATTGGCCCCTAAAATTTATTTGTCCGCAATAGACGTGAACTTGAATCTTCTACTATTTGTAGTCATTTTGATGACGTAACATAATCTCTAAACGTTAGCTTTAGATTAATGTGGATCCAAAAATAAAATCCGGGGCTAAATTGAGAAAAAATGTTAAGTTGAGGGACTAAAAGTTATTTTTTCCTATAATTAATTAAAGCTTGGTTGTAGGGATAAGCATAGGTCAGGTCAGATCAGATTTTTGGTCTACTAGAACACGATTCAAGCATTCTACCCCTCCGCTAATCACTTGACTTGACCCAAGTTTAGGGATGCTCCATGTCTCCACCCAACCCTTTTTTTGGGGTAAAAATAAACACCCGAAATCGATTCAATTTGAAACAATTATATATAAGATAAAATAAAGACCTAATTGAAAGAAAATATATAAATATGTATTTTTTTGTAATTATCCATGAATATATAAGGGATACTTTTCTCGAGCGAAGTCTGGTCAATAATTTTTCACTTTAAATTAAACTCACCCGACATTATACTTAAAAAATAAAACTAAACCTATTTAAAAAAAAACTTAATCTTATAGGATCGAATTGGAACCCGTTGAATCCGAGTCTATGCCCATCCCTAGTTAACATTATATTATATATGGTTTGAAAAGAGCAAGAAAGGCATTAAAAGTTAGACACTTTTGACTCCACCTTCTATTAAAGCTTAATTCACTTAATTCACTTAATTCACTAGTCCTCCTCCACCATATGGGAAAATCTAAAATTGTGCCTATCTAGGATTGTAATTATGTAAAATATTTTATGGACAAATTGCAGTTCAAATACTCCATTCCGATTTAAAAAAAGGGGTTAATTACACAGGAGGTCTCCAAATTATGACTCACATTCCATATAAGTTCCTAAGCTTTAAATTTTATACCAGTCTTCAAACTATAACTTTCATTTTAAGTTGGTCTTTAAACTTTAAAATATTATTATTAACTCTCAAACTCTCAAATATCATTCTATTTTGATCATTATGTTAACGTGCCCTTTACTGGTTTTCGAATGTCAGAGAAATTAAACATGTAACCTTGTAAAAATATTTAATCTATTTTTGAAGGTCTTGAAAATCTTTTAAAAAATCACATGTTCAATATATTAAATGGAGTGAAGACTAAAAAATTACGATAATTATCCAAACACACTACAAATGTACAATTATACCTAAATTTAGGAATTAGAGAATATGAACCCTATTGGAAATAGTAACTACAAAAACAAAGTCGTTAGCACTGACTGGGAATATAAATAAATAAAATAAATCGTAACAATAAACTGTGTCGTGGTAATCCACTGCTTTAGAAGCTAATTCGGCCTGATGAATGTAATCGCAACAAGGGGAATGCCCCTTGAGGTTAACACGGTTCTCTAAAAACTCAAGAGTGAAAATTGTGCTGTGATTTCTCAAGTGTGAAAACTCTAAGAGATTGGAGTTGACAAAAGGTGGTATTGCTCTTCACCGCTTATAATTTCATAAGAAATAAACTTTGAAGAATAGTTTGTAGGAAGAGAGAAAAACTTTGAAAGCATAGAGGAGAATGTTTGTTGAGATGATTTGAAAATGCCACAAAGGTTCTGTATTTATAAGTGCATTCTCCAGACAAGAAACATAAACAAAGACATGAGTTACAAGATTGATGTATTGGCTGTAATATTACAACAATAAATATGTGCATAACTGGCTGTAACATCTGGAAATTAAAGAACTGTCAGCTACTAACTTAAATGAAAAATAGTTTAGGTTCATAGTTAAAATGCACAGGAGAAACCAGTTGTAATAGCCTTTAAATTGCAACAATAAATTCTAGAAATTCTGCCATGCCAATTACGATAAAATATATGTTTCAAACTTTTTTTTTCACACTTGAGAAATGTGTCTATAAATACAGTATCATAAATTTCATTTTAGTTTTCTTGAAAATATTTTTCCTTAAAGAAATTCTTACGAATTTTCTCCAAAAAGAGAATACAATTGCGGTACGTGTCAAAGACACATAGTTAACACAACCCAAGCCGAGCTGAGCCTGAGCCAACCTGATTTGGACGATGATAGTGGTGGCACACACATGCAAAGGAGTTATCTAGCCACATTCAATTTGAAGGGGAAAGGGTGTCCCTTTAAATACCTTCCCAAAGGTATATTTATATCCAATGTGAGATAAAGCTTTTTTTTTTAGTTTCTAAAGTATTACTAACATCCCTTACTAATGCGTAAGAAATATCTTTTTTAGAATTTTTTTTAGATACGTGAAGAGCAATAGCGAGACTAATCGCTTAAGCACTAGTGGACGTACCTTGAACTTGTGCATAGTGACAATAAGTAACTCTTCTCTTAACTAAGTGAACAAGTCTTGAACTTGTTAAGGTATGAGTGAACTCATGACACACAACTAACCTCATTCATCCACCAAAGTCCGCGACAAATAAACAATAATACGATACAATACAAGCAATGCAATGCAATGCAATGCAATGCAGTGCAATGCAGTGCAATGCAATGCAGTGCAATGCAATGCAATGCAATGCAATGCAATGCAATGCAATGCAATACAATACAATATATATAGCCTACATATCCTCATGATTCTAGTAAGTGTAGAAAAATAGTCCAATGTTTTCATAGAAGATGTCTAATCCTTCTCCCTTACCTAGGTTACTTCATCAAATTTATCTCAACATAAACCACCCGAATAAGAGCTATGAAATAATTTAGAGCTTTTACAACAACTCATCCTTAAATTAAATAAGGTGAATTTCTTCAAGTTCATTTAAAATAAACTTCTCAAACTCTGAGATAAGAAATCGTTAAGAATAAACAACTCAACCTCTTTAAACATTGAAATCAACAAGTTCTTCTCAAAGTCTTGGGATTGAATTCATTAAGAGTTTATTTAAAAACTCATCCTTTCTAACGGTAAGTTCATTTGATTCTTCGCGATATAATCACCACTCATCACTAGGTAATGAACTTTATTAAAAGTAGATATTCAACCAAAATTGATAAATTCATCAAGTCTTTCTCACTAAGACCATCCAAATCATGGGTTATGAATTTATTAAGAGCATAACAACTCAACCTTGTGCATGTACATTATTCGTCATAGAGATAGGAGATTATGTACACTATGAGTCTTTCCATGGTTTCGTTTGCCACATTGAACTTAGATAACTAAGTTGGGTGTCCACCATGAATTCCTCAACCAACAGGCTTTAGACCCATCCCCCTCAATGAGTCTTAAACCAATTTTTGACTTAACCCTTTGGCTAGCGGATCAGCAAGGTTCCTCTCCGACTTCACATACTATAAAGAGAGTACTTCATTCCTTATTAGATGTCTTATCGATTCATATCTTATACGAATGTATATTTTCTTACCATTGTAAGCTTAGCTATGCTCTACACATATCGCAGGTTGAGAATCACACAATAAGGACACTAGAGGAGTCGATTTTCCCCATAAAGGAATTTCTATTAATAAATTCTTAAGCCATTCGACTTCTTACCCAACTAGGTCGAGAGTAATGAATTCTGACTCCATCGCAGAATGAACAATGCACGTTTGCTTTGCAGATTTCCACGAGATCGCTGCTCCGTCTAGTGTAAAGACGTACCCACTCGTTGAGCTTACTTCATCATCATCGGTAACTTAGTTAGCATCACACTAACCCTATAAGATTGCAGGATAGCCAATAAACTCAAGTTTTCAATCCATTGTACCTCTAAGGTATTTCAGTAAGCATAAGCAATGTCTGGCCGAGTATAGTTCATTAAGAATATAAGGTTGTAACAGCTGGAAATTAAAGAGTTGTCAGCTACGAACTTAGATGAAAAACAGTCTAGGTTCATAGTCAAAATGCACAGGAGAAACCAGCTATAATAGTTGTTAAATTACATTAATAAAATTCTAAAAATTCTGCCATGCCAATTCATATAAAATATTTGTTTCATACTTCTGTTTTCACACTTGAGAAAATGTGTATATAAATACAATATCAAAAATTTCATTTTAATTTTCTCAAAAATATTTTCCTTAAAGTTCAACACGTAATTACCACAACCATGACCCAACTTGACCCAGTCGGATAACGACAACGCGCATGGGAGTTATCTAGCCACATTTAATTTAAAAGGAAAATGGTGTCCCTTTAAATACCTTCCCAAAGGTATATTTCTATCCAATGTAGGATAAAGCTTTTTTTTTTAGTTTCTAAAGCATTACTAACAAATCCATCTAGTGATCTCAGTGGTTTAAAGGATTGTTGTTCTCCCTATAAGTTTTAGGTTTGAGCAGTTGCATATGCAGAGTGTGTGTGCGTTGTCAATGATTAAGAAAGATTATGAACAAATGCTACCTTATAATCACTGCAGACTATTAAAAAAATAAAGAATATAATTAAGGCTCTCTAATTACATTAAATCTAACTCA